CAGGTTCTAAATAGTTCTCTTACTTGTGCCAGTCGGTAGTAAATACCTACTTGAAGTCAACAAACCATCTGTTACTTCAATTAAAAGTGTTAATAATTGCCTTACGGAAGTGATCTTTATTACTTCATAACTTATTACCAGATTTCTTCTACTTATGTTTAGAAGTTTCATTATTTGTTTTTGTGGTAATAGGTTTGCTCTCCTCGCAAAATAAACAATATACAAGTAAGAACTAGAATCTGTAAACTCATGTTTTCAAAATTCACAATTCTTGCAAGATGTCTAATAGATATGTGAACACCTGTAGATATATACGATGGGGAGATGGGTTAAGAACTTGTCTTCGGCGTATGGATGATCAGTCTGTTTTCCTATTGTCTTCAGATATAAGCTTACAGCTTTGTTAGGAAAGATATTTTAAAGTGTAGAATTAACTAAAACTGCTAAAACCAACTATTCTATAGTGTAGATTTATGAAGACTGAAGATTTCTAAATATAAGAATATGATTAACAAAATTCAATAATAAAATCTGGCTAATATTCTAGGTGACTAGTTCACTAGTTACTAGCTGGTCCTAAGCCAGGACAAAGAGGAAAGGTTGGGCATAGGGCTAGCAACTCTACCCTAAAAACACCAATTGAATCGTTAGAGAAACTTCAAAGCATAAAGTAAATATAAAACACAAAATTAAACCCATTCCCTGCTGGAATCAGTGAGGCGAAATGATGCAGGTTGGTGAAAGACTTCAGGAAGCCAATTGGCCGATGTGTCTTCTCTCCCTCGATGAAAGCGAAAGTAAGAATGGGGACATGGAATGTCCGAACAATGTCCGGACGTTTGAAGCCAGCTGCCAAGGCTGACCAGGTTGCCATAGAGACAAGGAGGTATAGCATAGAAGTGCTGGAATCTGTGGGGAATGTGGATGGAATGGGAGAAGAGTCAATAATCTACTCCGTTATTATCACCCAAATGACAACCACGAGCACACTGAGTTTTGTAGTGGTTATCATGATGTCCCCAACAGCATCGACGACTCTCTCTCATGCACTGGGAACCAATCTCCTCCAGTATCAGCTTCATGACAACATGATTCAACACTAACGGAGGAAAGTCACAATCATACAATACTACGCTACACTACGCGACTACAAATAATGCAGATCAAAAGAAGAAGGGGGAATTATACAAACAGATGCAATCAGTACTGGACAACACCCAACTCCGTTGGTGACATCAAAATTCATTCTAATGGTTGGGGTGACATGAATGCCAAACTGGGAGCAGAAAACACAGGAGGAGAACCAATCATGGGTTGAGAAGCACCAGTTTAAATGAACGAGAATGGAGAATTGTTTGCAGACGTCTGTGCATTCAACGATTCGGTGATAGGAGGCGGTGTGTACAAACACAAGACATTCACAAGGCAGCGACATGGATTTCACCAGACATCAGATGGACACACTACACCAAAAAACAGATCGACTTCTTCTCAATGTGTAGAATGTGGAGATGCTGTCAGCCTACTCTACACAAGATCAGATCAAGAAGTGGAGTACATGTAGGCTCACACCATCAGACTATCTAGTGCAAGGAAAATTTCTTCAAATCAAGTTGAAAGCACTCAAAGAGGTTGGTGATAGACCACAGTTGAAGTTCAACACCAGAACATAAACTGAACTGGTGGACGAAACTACAGAGGACATCTTCACATCAGCCAGCCATCACGACAAAATGGGTGATACTGAGCAGCACACCTGAAGAAACCAGCGTGGAAGAACACTGGAACTCTTTGATAGAGATGTGGCAAGGAACCTGTATAAGTGTATTAGGAAGGAAGAAGAAGCAAGACATGGAATAGATCTCGACGACACATGGAAGCTGATAGAGGAGGAGAGGAGGATGGTGAATGAGAAGATGAACGAGTGCAGTGCAGTGCAAAGTTGAACAAGGAAAAGAGGAACTGAACACAACCTATAAAACACTAGACTGGACAAAGAAGTGAAGAAGAGTGCACACATAGACAGAAGACAATTCCACGACACACTGGCAAATGAGTCAGAACAGGCTGTAGGTAGCAGAGACAGATATCTTACAACACTATATCAACTAACTGGGTTAATATTTGGGAGGAGATAGGCTCAGAGGAAACCAATGAAAGAATGTGAAATAAACTTAGTTACGAAGGAGGATAAACAAAGGAATCAATTGTCTGGTCACTTCAATTAGCTCTTGAATCAACCACTACATGCAACTCATCCAGAAATACTACTAGCAGTGCAAGAAATATCAAGGGACACGGGTTCTCCTACAAAAGCCGAAGGCGTGAACGTCACGCCATAAAGTTGCTGAAATGCGAGAAAAACAGCAGGACCAGATAAAATCCCGCCAGAAGCACTTAGAAGAGACGTAGAGACAACAGCGGACATCCGCACACCACTACTGCAGAAAGTTTGAAAGGACGGAAGGAAAGATATCTGCAGATTAGAAGCGGGGCTACCTTGTCAAACTTCCGTTAATGAAGGACTTAAGTCTTTGCAAGAAGTGGCGCGGAATCTTGCTGCTGTTCAAAGCAAGATAAATATTAAGCCGCATTATCTTGAGAGACTGAAAGATGCGCTGGATTCGAAAACACGACCGGAACAGGCTGGAGACAGGAAGAATGAATCATGTGCAACCCGAATTGTAATGATAGGTATCATCATAGAATAGAGGATAGAAAAGAAGTCAACTCTAACTCAAATTCATCCATTTTCAAAGGCCTTCGGCAGCGTCGACAAAGAAGTTATTTGGAAACTGCTTGAACAATACGGAGTGCCACAAACCTTTATCGACCTCATTCAACAGCTATATGCTTTATGATGCTAAATACCAAGTATTTCACAATAGAAAGCTCAGTAACGCCTTTGATGTGAAGACAGGAGTAAGACAAGGCTGCTGCCTACTATCACCGATCATCTTCCTAATTGTGGTCAACTGAAATGGATCAAGCAGCAAACTGTGAGGAGCGAGAAGAGGGACAAACGCTGTTTGACCGAGGAAAAGACTCCAGAAGAAGATTTGGATTTCGCCGAAGATCATTTATATCCAATGTTGCACAAACTTGAAGAATAACAAGCGAAAACTAACAGGTTGACAGAAGAGGCGAGGCGAGGTGGCGTGGGGCAACGAAGACGGGATTTCCTCCAGGAGAACGTAGACAAGTCACAGATGATGAAGATACCCAACCAACAACAACAACAACAACAACAACATGCACCAATCACCACCAACGGGAGGAACCTAGAGGAAGTAGTCTCTTCCACCTACCTAGACAAGACAGCATCGTTTCAACTGCAGGTGGTGGCACAGATGAGCATGTCAAAGCCAGGATTGGAAAAGCTGGACAGGCCTCCATCAATCTGAAACCAGTATGGAGATCAACTGCACTGTACTGCACTGCACTCGGCACAAAGCGTAGACAAGTTCCAGATTCTCAACACTAGTTCAGTCAAGTAAGTCAGTGCTTCTATGTGATGGCTGAGAGACTTGGAGGCGCGTTACGAAAGCATTTCCAACAAACTACAGACATTCATCAACAGCTGCCACCTACGCTCACTCGATACTGAAGATGGCGATCAGATGACCAGAATAATAAGAATAAGCAACGGGCAACTCTGGCCGGCCGGCCTGGCTGGCTGGCTTGCTGGCAAAGAATCAACCAAGAACCCATCGTGCAACAAATATGCAGCAGAAGGAAGGTGAAGTCGGTTGGGCATACACTGAGAAGACCGATGGGTGACATCATGCACCAGGCCGTCGAGTGGAATCCGAAGGCGAAACGACGAGTTGGGGGTGTGTGGTGAGGGTGACATGGAGGAGATGGTGTGGAGAATAAATGAAAGTTTTTGGGCAGAAGTGGAGCCAGGTTGAAAAGACTGGAGAGAAGAGAGTGAAATGGAGATGTGCTACTGAATCCCCATGTTACACTAAGAACTCAAATGAAGTATAACAAATAATAATAAATATACTCGTACTCTTAAATAGGTATTGGTATGTTAAAAAGCGTCATCTTTAAGACATATGAGTTTCATAATCCTTTTTACAAAATACTAAGCATCTGTACATTTTGTTTGTTTGAAAGCCAGAAATGTAACTACTATTTTATAAGCAGCATAAAATTTCACAAACAACAACTCAGAATAGTTTGATTTGCACTTTCACTGAGGAAAGTCGGCTGAAACATCCGCAAAGCCATGTAGCAGTTCAAGGTAGTTTTGAGAATGAATACATTATAATGTGTCATATTGGATCACTTATTTTAGCTGGCAACTTCAAATGAACTTAAATAGTTCATAAAAGTCAGTGAAAATATTTAGGCTGTATGGTGTATTTCATGGATACTCGTGTATCAAATGGTCAGTCTGTTAATATTATTCATCCAAAATCTGTGTCAACTGATCAGCGGTGGATATCATTTTTCAGCCAGAACAACTTGTCCAACTAAGTTTCAAATACGTCAGTGGTACGAGTGGATTGGATGAGGCAATGAGCTTTCGTACAGTGCCAGTATCTAGCATTACCAGTGGTTGTCTCCCTTTCTATGTTGTTGTTTGTATTATCCCGTCGTTAACTGAACCGAACTGGTAGGTTCTTATTGGCTTGTGGGCACCTGCGTCGGTGCCCCGATATTGTTTGTGTTTTCAGTTTTGTGATAATAATAAAAACTATATTTTTCACATAGGAAGGGGTTTTCACGACTAGATAGTCCATCGGAAAGCGCTCTGGCGTTTTAAGTGATTGGTTCCGAATTCGAGTCTTTGGGAACAACATCACTGACTGGGAGGCAAGTAAATCAGGCTGGGAAGTTCAAAATAGGTCGGAATTTGCGTCCTGAATTCCACTGCTAGCCACTATGCACACCTACCATAGTACTTAATAAGATGTTAAAAAATCCTACTCTGTACTTAGGTACAAAAGGCATGGATAAATCTGAATTGACTACAAATTAAAATCATTCACCTCAACATGCAGAGTAACCCTGCTGATGTGCATCGGATCGATATCTTCGGCAATCTTTAGAGTAAATATATTTGTATTGGGCAATTTGACTGGCAGTTGGTCTAAAAATATAAAGAAACAGGCGGAAAATTAGCTGGTAAAGAACTGCTGTCGATTTGGGCATTTTTTGATTGAATAATAAAGTATTGTATGGTGAAATGAATTCTACTGACTAAACATGTTGCACTATATCAACTAGAAAACTTGATTTTCATGTCTTTTGTGTATATTTTGTGCAAAGTGGGTGAGTATAAATCAGTTATTGATAGTGTATTCACGTACTAGTCTGAAAGCTGCATCTTCTTTGTCCAAGTAACCCACGTTACCTGATTTTTCCAAATCATGTTAAGTGGAATTGTTTTCAAAGCTGCAACTCAGCAGTTGGATAAAGAGTCAGAAAATCACTAAGAAGTTACTTTTGAGCATTTATAGGGATAAACAGAAGTTTGTATGTCATTATAAAGGTGAATGTTGTAAGTGTTCCATAATTAGTTACGACAGTATGAATACTAGGTTATTTACTGCCTACTTTTCTCTTCATATTCCCTATTTTTGACTTTACTGACCAGTATTCCTTTCAGTAAAAAGCGAATTCATGAGTATTATTTTGTGGTAATAAGGTTAATAAGCTTAGAACTATGAGGATCACCAGGGAATTTTATAAAATTTTGCATGCTGCTCTTTCAGTGATCTTTACATTTGTTTATTTGTGCTGTTTAAGTGTATTATATTTACCGGCTAAAACAGCTAGAGATTTTGCAGAAACGCTTATGTAAGCTGTTATGAATTCCTCATAATGACAATTAAGTCTGATTATGATAGCTCACCTAGTGTAGTTTAACTTTATGAAAAATTCATGTGTTGGTTGAAAATAATAAGTCTACTATGTTCTCACAGAAATTAGTTCTTACCTTAAGAAAAATTACCATTCTTTTCAAAGTTGGTGTTAACAAATATTCTAACAACAGACTTAACACTATATTCACAGCAAATGCAAAAACAGTAATTTCTGTTTTTGTCAGAGTTGAAGTGAAATCAGTCAGTAATTAAAGAATTTGAAATCTAAGTCGTAAATGAGGTTTTTATGTCTCATATTATCTTCATTTGTAATCAATAAAATGATGTCCGATTTTAGGCGATGACATAATCTCCTTGAATCTCAAAACATCTCTGTTCTTATTGCTGTTCATCTTTGACGCTATAATATCGAAACAGCTAATGAACTAAATACCGGTTCACTAATACAAGTTCAGTAAATAGTTTGTATATTTATTAAGGTTTGAATTTAACTTTGTATTCATAGAATCTAAGTCAGAATAATCTTTTTTAAAAGACGCAACATGCTTATTTCATCATAGATCAGACAAGTGTTATAAAATACATATTTCCTTAAAATCTTATTGGGTTCGACTTTGAACTACATGAAGTTGTTACAGTGGGAAAAAAGACTCATTAGTTGGTTGCAAATATTTGAAAAGCTACAGCTAGTAAATTTGGAAATAAAATTAGTGGACCTCTTTGTTTTGGTAGTTTATGGATAAACGAAATAAAACTTAGAAGCTGATTATTTCAGTCAAAGCAAAACGTGAGTGTAGAATGAATAAAAATGTAGTCATAATTCATTATTGTTATCAAGCAAAAGCATACTACTATAATAAAATTGAAAATTAGAATATACACATAGTCTTCATCAATTAAGTTTATAAATCAACAATGTAGTATCTGATCTAGTAAAACACTACAGAATAATAAGGGAATATTAGAGTATCTTTTTAAACATATAGCTCTGGTTTCATTGTCGTCACTTGTGGTGAACGATTATGTATCTCATAAGTTATCAAGAAGATATGTTTTGATGCGAACAGCATGCTAATGTGATGTTGTGTCAGTGAGTAAGAACAGCATCCATGGCTCCACGCTTCGTTATCGGTACAAGCAGACATTCTTTCAAACGTTGAAACAATATCTTATACGGTCTATTATTTAGTAGGAATAAAAAGAATATGACGGAGACCTGAAGTATATTGCGACTGTTTACTCATAACATTCACATAACAATTTCGGTGGCTTCTAAGCAATTGAGGGTAGGGGAACATGTTACAAAATGGCTACGAAAGCAGCTGGATTCACAAACATTGATAAGCGCAGATGGCAGACAACCATCATCATCCATTGCAAAACATATCATTGATAACAGTCACAGGATTGATATTAAAACAGCCTTTACAATTTTTGTATAGAAACTGTCAGGGGCGTATACTTAAGTTTGTTGAGGCGCTAGCCATAAATAAATTTAACCCCCCACTGTGTGTGCAAAAGCAGTTTGTAATTACATTAAGCCTACTTTGGTAATGCTTATTTTATCGTATTACCAAGACTGTCTTCAAATCTTATCTTCTTTTCCTCTCAATATCTTTCTTATTATTGAATTCCTTAATGTCATATTTATCCTTCCCCCACTTCCAGTTTTCATATATAATGTCTTAACAAGTAAATGTGTGGTCAGATTGTTCGGACTGTATAGCTCTAATACATCACATTTTTTAGATAATCTACGTCTTCTAATTACATTATCCAAGATAAAAAGCGTTGTGACAGGTAGTGTGAAGCATGATTGGTTTGCACTAGGTTTAAAATACAATGTCTCTTAAATCCTTACACCTTCACTTTCTAGACCTTTGAGATCAAATAACAGTCGTAGTAGAAGGCATCCATTAGTTTCGTTCGAAACAAAAAGTTAACACAATTGTATGAAATTACACAACACTTACATTCGCTTAGACCAACCGAAATAAAAACTTTAGAGTATATTCAGTTTTAAGGTTTCCAACATCCTGAGATTTTTTTCAAAATCCAGAAATGCTAGAAATGAAAAATTGAATCTGATTATGAACAAAATGGTTACGTTTATTAGTAAAAAAACGAGAGCTATTTACCTCTTAAGATGAGTGGTTAGTTCAACAGAAATAAGTTTATTCTGTGAAGGTATACACGGTTCACCAGGAAAAGAAGGAAACTTCGAAGATTCCATCCCTAAGATAGTGCAAATGATGTAAAAGTGAAATTTTCACTGATACTGGCTGAACTTGCGGAAATAGAGACCGCTTAGGCAAAACTAGAGATAAAAACCAGTCAGAAACCCAGGAACTATATCAATATAGTAATAACCAGTGAGTTAAAGGTGATTCAACTGAGGGTCATTAGCAGTTAGAACCGAATCAAGGAAGTCAGCAGTTGTTTTTATCAGTCGTGTTAACATTTTTAAAATGGGAGTGGTAAGCTGAATGATACTGCCTTCAAATGACGATTAGTGGTTTTATTTGATACATAACACAATAACCCCAGTACGATCCATAAAACTATAACGTTTTGGAGGATATGTCACTGTACCATATCAAGATTTATCAGCACAGATATTCCAAGTAATGAGTTGTAAGAATATTTACTACTGGTACTAATCCCACTTAAAAGTTAGTCAAATCGAATTCTTGTCAAATGAAGCCAAGATTAGGTCACATGCAAATATATGAAAGGATTGTAATTAACCATAAAGGAAGCCCGTACACGAATAAGCCAATCAATATGACTTAGCAGGTGGTTACAGAGCAGTTGGACGTAGACTACAAAGTCACCCTTAGAACTAATGTGTTAGTGGTGTTTATGATTCCAAGGACGCAGTCAAGATGAATATCTACATTTTTTTGGAACAGAATGTGCAAACCAGTTGAAGAGTTAGCCATTGGATCTTAGAAACCTATGCTAACGACAGACAAATATACAAACAGTTTGGAATGTATTACTTTTGTGAAACTTAAACATATACCAAAAGTTTGGTGAAAATAATAAAATGACGCATTTACACAGCTTAATCTGAAACACACAGGTGAACGTTCGATATACATAAACTCAGCGGTGGATGCTGGTCAATATTTTGTCATTTCGAAAGTGACACAAATGAACCAGCTATGTTGGATCACAGGATAAAAATTAAGGGAGGCAGGAGCTTCGAGACTAGAGTTTGAAGAAAACCTCGCCACCTACGTCCAAATAAAGGCTTTATTTATTCCTGCGGTACATCGGCTAAAGAAAGCCCAGTGAGCTGTTTAAGGAACATCGCTAAAAACCTAACCATTAGGGTAAAAAATTTATCCCACGAAATATGATACACTGAGAAAGCCCTAGTACTGAAAGATCATACCTGCGAATTCGTCAGAAAATTTGCAAGATATTTAAGGAATTATAAAGCAACTAGTGGTAGTATAACCAAAACCCATGTAACTAACGTCGGTAACAGCGCGATACAGCCATAAATGGAGGCAAATTCATACACGTCACTGATGATTCTTACGGAAACTGGAATTGTGATAGCATCTAAACCAAATTATTCGCTTAGAACCAAACTCTGAAAGTTAGGATGTCCCATTTATTCTGTATAGCAAAACAACTTCGTTTATCAATTTTTTAAGTTGGTTCTGAAAATAAACACATAGATCAAAGCAGTCAAATATGATCACTGAAGTTACTAAAATCAAGAATCAAGCGAAAACCTTGACTACAGTTATATATTCATAAATGAACATCGGACAAGGTAAGAAAGTGACAATCCCTAGTCTTAATGTAACTGAGTTGGTTGAATCAATGTCTAACATGATGTTTTGAAGTTGAACAACTGCCTCTGATATGTGGAAGACTTAAGCAGTGTGGAAACAGAAAGAGAAGTAACCAAAAACCACATGATTAAAATTAGAAGGCATTGTAATAACCTTTAAAGATTAGGTGTGGCAACCTGTTTTAGAGAGGTCATCTAGCGAATAAACTTTCCCCCTGCATCACATATGTGCAGCAAACCAATAGACATAAGAATACACACAAGAACAGCGCTCATATTCTACCATTATATTCAAAGTTTTGTAACGCTTTCATCCAAAACGTTTTCCGTGAACTATAGTTTGAATAAGTTCTTCAGTGAGTCTATTTACGGTTCTTTTATTCAATATTCCTCACGAATTACTTAGTCGAATCAGATCTTTGTGATGTATTCCACTATAAGATATCTCTCGCTTTATAGATATGAGTGTTATTTCACTTGAATACTTTCTAGGCAGATGAGACATAGCCTATTAAACTTTCAAAGCTGCTTGTTGGATAAAGAACTTTTGCTTTCGAATATGTTCACTTAAGGATGTTATAAAAAGGAACAATTTTTATTGCAGTTCAGAACTTGATTTCAGATAGCTTAAGGATGAAAAGTAATATTTTGAAAAATCAAATGAATAAGATGCTTCAAACATTTATTTTCATCAAACTCTATGGTTTGGTAAGCAGAACACTTTAAAATGAAAGAAATATCACTTTGTAATCATCATAAATATCGTGAAATACGAATAGTGGATTTTGTTAATCGTCCTGATTTGTCAGGCACCAAATAACTTGCGGTTAGACTGGCACTCATGAGTAGGATTTAGACAGTGTTATATTATCATATAAACTAAAGACATTTGAGAACCAACCATTGCATAGTCAGACGGTAGTGGTGTTACAGCAGGCTGGCTACAAAACTCAAAAGATTTTTGCGGCATTTTGTACAACCGAACGATGAGTGGTGTCAACTTAGTTCATTGTTGTTAACGCTGCTGATTTACAAAACTTTATCAACCTCATTCAACAGTTATATGCTTTATGATGCTAAATACCAAGTATTTCACAATAGAAAGCTCAGTAACGCCTTTGATGTGAAGACAGGAGTAAGACAAGGCTGCTGCCTACTATCACCGATCATCTTCCTAATTGTGGTCAACTGAAATGGATCAAGCAGCAAACTGTGAGGAGCGAGAAGAGGGACAAACGCTGTTTGACCGAGGAAAAGACTCCAGAAGAAGATTTGGATTTCGCCGAAGATCATTTATATCCAATGTTGCACAAACTTGAAGAATAACAAGCGAAAACTAACAGGTTGACAGAAGAGGCGAGGCGAGGTGGCGTGGGGCAACGAAGACGGGATTTCCTCCAGGAGAACGTAGACAAGTCACAGATGATGAAGATACCCAACCACAACAACAACAACAACAACATGCACCAATCACCACCAACGGGAGGAACCTAGAGGAAGTAGTCTCTTCCACCTACCTAGACAAGACAGCATCGTTTCAACTGCAGGTGGTGGCACAGATGAGCATGTCAAAGCCAGGATTGGAAAAGCTGGACAGGCCTCCATCAATCTGAAACCAGTATGGAGATCAACTGCACTGCACCGCACTGCACTGCACTGCACTGCACTTAGCACAAAGCGTAGACAAGTTCCAGATTTTCAACACTATTCAGTCAAGTAAGTCAGTGCTTCTATGTGATGGCTGAGAGACTTGGAGGCGCGTTACGAAAGCATTTCCAACAAACTACAGACATTCATCAACAGCTGCCACCTACGCTCACTCGATACTGAAGATGGCGATCAGATGACCAGAATAATAAGAATAAGCAACGGGCAACTCTGGCCGGCCGGCTGGCTGGCTTGCTGGCAAAGAATCAACCAAGAACCCATCGTGCAACAAATATGCAGCAGAAGGAAGGTGAAGTCGGTTGGGCATACACTGAGAAGACCGATGGGTGACATCATGCACCAGGCCGTCGAGTGGAATCCGAAGGCGAAACGACGAGTTGGGGGTGTGTGGTGAGGGTGACATGGAGGAGATGGTGTGGAGAATAAATGAGAGTTTTTGGGCAGAAGTGGAGCCAGGTTGAAAAGACTGGAGAGAAGAGAGTGAAATGGAGATGTGCTACTGAATCCCTTTGTTACAATGGGAGCTCAAGGAACAAATAATAATAACGATGCTGATTTTCCTGATCAGTTTCTCAAGTAGGTCGCTGTTATGTCATGCAAAGTACAATTACTATCTGGAACTTTGTTTTAAGTGGAATAGTTTACTATAGACACCTTGTGTTTTCCACGAGAAATTATCTTGCGAAAATTTGTCATTTTGGCTTATGTGTCTCGGACTTCGTAGTCAAAAACAGTCAAGAATAATATTATGAGGCATCCTATGTTTACTTAGATAACGAATAAACAAAAGGACTGTAAAAATCTCATTTTCAACTTTCTTCAACAGAATGTATATAATAGTGATGGACCGGAGCTAGCAATGGGATCTAAGTCTTGCGCATCACTTTATTTGGGACTCGTCAGCTCTCTGCACCTGTTTCTCATTGTGTGATGGGGTTCTCACTAAGATTAGATCCTGAAACTTGTCGCTATAAACGTCACAGCGTTACCCACTAAGCCACTGATAGGTGTAGATATGTCCAGTAGAATACTAAATTTTTTAGTTCCTAAGAACCAATACTCATAAAATATTATACTGAGCCCTTAGTGTGACGTTCCCCCACGTAGTGGATCAGTAGGGTATCATATTATTTGTTGATTCAGTTGCTTATACAATATTATTAGTTGTTAACTTTTTATGTAAGCAATAATATGTCATCTGATCACAAACACTTTCAGTCAGATGGAATTTTTTACTAAATACAAATTCCTATCTCCACGAATGATTATGCGGTTGCCTACTGCAACTGTAATCATTGATCCTCTTGCAATGGATGTACAGGTCATAATTATGATCACTCAGACTTATAGAGTTGTTTCGGCACTTTTTGAACTTTCGAGCATGTGATATCTCCTCAACAAAGCGATTTCTTGTTCAATAATTTTAAATGAAATAAAAAAGACAGTATTATTAGTAGTCATATGTGTCGTCTATGCCGTAGGTACCTTGTCGCATAGAAATTAGAATAAAAGAATCTATGTACGTTTGCCGGTTGATGCTGACTCAGCCATCATGAGAATATGTCATCCTTCTTAACTGTTTCACAAACAGTTAAGTGATACATTTTTGTGCTCTTAAGAGTCACTTTTCATATCATTTGGTGATCTATCCTAATTTTGAAAGGTTGCATAAACATTACTATTTGGAAACGTAAGTGAATAACTAAAATGACTTTCAGGAAATTACAATGTTGTGCAATAAATTAAGTGGAGAATTTTTGACAGTCCACTTTTTTAGCAGGCCACCAGTAGCACATTTTTAGCTACTTTGTCAGGGAAATGACCATATCGTATTGTGAAGTGACTGTAGACAAAACAGCAGAGCTAATGGGTTAGTAAGAAATGGCCAGGAGCTAGAGGTTCCTTACAAGACTTCAGATAATACCACCGCTTAACAATTCCGAAGAGTTCCTAAATTTGTCTACACATTTATACTGTTATTCCTGTTTTCCAGCAGTTATCTAGTTTTGCTTACTGATAATATAAATTTACTTGGACTTGTCAAAAATAGATTTAGCTATCCGACTTAAGCATGATTAATTGAATGGCAGTGGAAATCTGATTCTTTTTAGTGCAAACAAAATTTTTAATCGACTTCAGGTAGCTAAATCTCATTCACACGAAAGATTTGGTTTGAAATTTTTACAACTTTAAAACGTGTTTACTTACACTGGTTAAGTAATATAAGGGTTTCTTTTTCTTCATCTTCATCAACTAGGTTATCTGCCATTTTATTAGAAGCATCAATTTCAGCCTTCAAACGTTTACGTAATAATATTGGTAATGAATCCCATTCTGATTTATTGTTGAAGTTCACTTTCGGCACAGATCTCATATTTAATTGACTTAAAATCTTCTTTTTATACTTTTCAATAATTAAATCAGTTTGGTGTTTAATTTCATTAAACTGACTTGTATAAGTACTATCAAAGTGGTAATCATTAGCATGGTTGTTAAACGCACTTTCTGACGTGAAGGAATTGCTTGTTTTCGGTGTAATTTCTCTTTCTGAACTCCTAATATATGATTGTGGTGAATGTTGTTTGTCTCTTGATAATGGTAAATAGAACCTTGTCGGTCGAATAAAGTATATGCTTGAGGCGACTGATGCATCCACTGGATTAAATAGTTTAAATATATCGAATTTGGAATATGACACTATCATTACCAATATAATTATTAACGTGTACCCAAATTTCAAGCATAATTTCTTGAATAATTCTGATATTTTGAATAATAATGATGATTTTTCCACCGATTGAAACAAATGAGTAGTGTATACAACGGAATTTTTCAAGACTACAGTTGACAACAGTGTAAAATAATAACTTAAACTAATCAGTCTATGCAAAATCATATTGTCTGGATCATAAAGTTTCATATTTTTGACGAAACTCTGCATAATTTCTCAATTTAGGAATTCAACAGTTGTTGCTTATATACTGATTTGGCATTAAACACAAATGACTGCTTCATATATTCATTCAATTGGATAATAAATGTGTTATATTTTTAAAACCATACAAATAATTATTATGCGAAAAACTCACTTAACAGAATGTATTAAGGTGTATATAACATCTAAGAGAAAAATATGAATGTTGCTGTTTATCAATTATTTAATCTGTTCATATGTTTATAAATAATTAATTGTAGTTGTTTATTTTGTTTTTTGTCAATGAAGTGAATCGTACTTGTATTTAGTATATATATCCATCGTCTCCCTTTCTTTCTTATTCTTCTTACCTCAACCTACTTGTTCTTTACTCTCTCCGTCGAAAACTATTGTCCATGAACCCTTTTATTACGGATAAAGTGGATTGTCTTTAGGTTCCCTGCCTTTCTACAGTTGTTGAAATGACCAATGTAGGTATAAATGTGTTGTCTACATTTACTTATATTTGTGTGTAAATTTTTTAGGTGGAAAAAAAGTTTAACAAAAGAAGATTCTAATATTAACACTTATGATTAGTTGGTGAACATTAAAAAAAAAGATTAAATACATAGACAGGCAAAAAATTTAGCCATAAATTCCGATAAGCCAATAGGATTTTAGGTGATAAAGTTTTTGTGTAGTTACTTATATGCTACGACAATTTAGTTTCTCAGATTTTATCTGATCACAGTAGAATATAGGATAAGAATTTCAGGCTTATTTAAGCGCCATCTGATGAATTCATGTACAAGCATACTCATTAAGCTCACTTTACTCTTGATACTAGTGGTTTTCATAGTCTCACTGAATTCAATTCAGTTTACCATAAGATCTGACTCACTTGAGTTTCACTCGTCACGAAGCCATGGTAAGCTGCCAAATTCTTTTAGTTTCTCAATGATCCTCAAACCTATGTCAATCTATGCGACAAACTGGCATTTAAATTATTTTTTGGTGACTATATTGACTATTTTCGCTTAAACATATGGAATTTAGATCTTAAATATTACATGAAATTAGATTTTGACTAGTTGTTTGGGTAAGTGAAGCTGCTTTTATAGCTGAGCAATATTTACCTAAATGGACTTCAATAAAGTATTGCTTCTTGTCACTAATAATATTCGGAAAGGCAAACAGCGAGTATTACGACTCCCCGGAGTTTACATTCAATGACTTAAATATGATTTGTTTATTGTGATATTTGTTTTTAGGACATAGGTTATTTAAGAAAATACCACGCATGCGAATATATATATATATATATATATATATATATATATATATAAATATATATATATATTACTATTGACATCAATGGATATTTAAATGAGATGATATTTTGCGACCTAAAACTAGTTTCGTTAGAAAACTCCTGTGAAATTAACAAATTGGCTTTTATCTTTTTGTTTCTTTACACTGCTTAGTCAGTTATGCAATTATTTACTTATTTATTCCGCAGGTTGTATCATATGCACTATATCATCACATGGAGGTTGGAGATATGCCCACTATAGTATACCTGAGTTCATGAAAATGCTGCGATCATTTAATGTCACCGTCCATTGTTATCTCCATTAAAACGGTAGAAAGTTTTGGGGAATTTAATAGGATTCTGAGATGATTTAGCTTTGTTTTACATGGGTAAATATGAATTGGTTAAAAGTGTTTCTTGCTTGTATGTCAAAACTTGTATTAACGGATTCCTATTCAGGTATCTTTATGCGTGTAATGAGAACCATGTCTTACCAGATTGCAATTTGAAATAATAACAGCATATAATTTCATTCATGTCAACATATTCTTCATTCATGTTTCCCATCAACTACAAGAATAGAATTCCGTACACTCCTAGTCTTCATTTAAAACACATCGCATTGCTAGGTTTTTTTTGGCAGTAAATATTTACAGCTCTGACGGTGGACATTCAGATATTTTTACGAATTCTTAAACTTCGCTTTAACTTGGCATATCTTTCGATAACTCCACGTTGTGTTTTGTGCCAAATTAACAAAACATTTGATGAAATATATTTAAGATAATTTCCGTATTGCATTTATGAGATGAAAGGGGATTTTTAATTTCTAAGTAGTATTCATCATGGACTGACATCAATTGGGGAACCATTGAAAATCTGGGAGCACTGAAGAGCTGTTTCGTCCTAGTATGGGACTCCTCAGCAGTACATTACTCTATAGTGCTCATTAGTGACTTGCTTCCAGATGGATATCAAGAAGTTCTAATGAGAAGCCGTGACTGTGGGGTCAGCCAGTCGGAAGTGAAGTGGATGCCGACTGAAGACCTTGGGTGACAGTCGCGCTATGTCGTGAATTGACGGAAGTTGGAAATTGTGAACCGCTGGAGACCGAACCAGTGCCTGAATGGTTAACGCGTTCGCCGTGAAACCTGAAGGTCCTGCGTTCAACCCCTAGCCGGGTCATGGGTGCGTACTGCTGGGAAGTTCCATACTAGGACGAAACAGCTGCCCAGTGCTCCCAGATTTCCAATAGTTCCCACAAATGATGTCAGTCTATGATGAATACTACTTCTAAATCTCCATATTATAACCTCGGTCATGAAAATTTTGTCTGGGAAGACATTGCTATCACAAGTTAAGCTGTTTTTATAAATTATAAAACAGTGTGCATTATCCTTACATTGTTTACCTAATATACGTCTAAGTCAGCGATTACGTTCCTCGGGAACTAGTCTCAGTGTGACGCTTACGCATTAGGATGCTTTGAATTACTGAGTTTCCTTTCAGACTCATAGTAACTGGATTGAATATTTAGATAGTTAGTGGCTGTATAACTAATACTTAGAGGTGAAAAAGTTATTTTAAAAATTATCAACGGATAAATTAATCTGAAAGGTGAATTCATGATAGTTTTAATGGTTCTATTTCAAGTAATATGTTTTCAAAGGCATGGAATTCTCAGCATCTAATATTGCAACAAACATATACTTTGTATATTATATTAAAAGAAATGATTACAGCTTCTCAGTGATGTTACCAATGACAGTGTTATAGGCAACAATCTGAAAAATAACAAGCTGCTGTATATTTATCTTTTAGTCTGAGGCAGAGAACAAGTAGAAGAATGCAAGTATATTTGGTGGTAATGGTGCACTCAGCCAGCAGAAAACATGCAACACACCCTAAATATCTCAAGAATAGCAAAGTCAACTCCCATCTAACGTGGTGTCATTTCTTCATTTTATTACTGACCTCCAAAATGTTAGGTTGAAGACATCTAAAAATGTCCAGGAGCACCTTATGTGATTTGAAACCATATTTTAAATAAAGTAAGATGTCAAAATGAAGCGATTTGTCTCACAACTGCTTGGAAACTTTTGGTAGCCGGAGGTTCGTTTAGGCCAACAATTGGATAATGGGTGGTAAATACAGTGAAACAACGGCAGAAGATTGAGTAAGACAGATCGTAATGAAAACGCATCTCTGGTCCCTAATATAATTTTCATTGAAAAAGTGACAGCTGATTTCAGCCGTCTCTCAGTGGGAAAAAGCGTAAGTCAATTGTATTTGATGAACAGGAGTAAAACCGTCAGTTTCCCATATGAAGTTGGAATTTCTTGTCTCATATTTTCAGTTAGATTATTTAATTTATGCTGTATAGTCCCTATGGTGGGCTAGCTAAAATTATGACATAACATAAGTGAACGGATACTCCTGTCTACAATCGTATTCGTCAGCTGTTTAAAAAGTACTGAGGTTGTCCTAATTGCAAACACTAGCTTATCATGTTGAAATAGTTTCCAATGAGTATTTACAGTTAGCAGTCTTCAACTTTTAAATGTTATTACAACTTGAGAATATTCAATCTCAGGGTCTGATTTGGGAAAAAGATCAGCCACTTTTAGTTGTATGCAATATACCATGTAAGATTTTTTAAAAATAATTTTCTTTAGTTTAACACAAACCATCATAAGTGTAAGTACATAGAAAACTATCAGCCAACTTCACGTCTACGATTAGGGTTTTCGAGGTTAAATAAGCGACGAGTGTCAACACAACTTGTGACAGTGAACTTAGCTGTTCTTCATCAACTCCAGCTGAAAATGGAAGTGGAACTACCTACTTGTGGTGAGATGTTGGGTTGATACAGAATAGACGACGAACAGCGACTGACATCGTGATCACTGTATAGTGACCAAGGTCAGGGTGGAAAACACCTGCGAGTTTCTTATAAAACTAGTGAAGCAAATACCCATTTTTTCGAGAATGTTTTGTCGTGCAATAAAACTGATCTGAGTGGCACTAAAACCTACTGAGCTCGAGAAGACTTTGATCACCATTATTAGCTTGAATTATACCCTGAATATGATACGATGAAATGTTATGACAGGAAGGAATTCGTAAAATAATTTAGGGGATCATCCGATAAACTCGTGTCAGTTTCAAACATTCGTTTATTCGAAAAATGCATTGCCCCTATCATATTAAGCTTTCTTCAAATAGAGGTTATATCTAGTGCAAAATCAAATAGCAAATGTGACATAAGAATATTTAACTGGACATTAATGTGCCTGCTGTCCCACACCATCCTAACCAGACAAGCTAGCAAACTCAGCAATTGGGTTGGGAGTGGATTTCTGTTGGGTTTCAGGACCGACTCTTGGAGACCAGTGTGACTGACAGTATTCCTTCTTATCACCAGCAATATAACTTAGTTGGCTACGATATTGTCTATACGGAGAGAATTTGGTAAACTTTCAGGCTCTATGAATACTGGCATGGTGATGAAGGTCCTTCTTTGATACTCTATAATGACTAAAACTAGGATACAAATAAGGAACACATGAATTAGCTTTAGATGGGTCACAGCCAATTGAAATGGACTACTTTTCAGAGTGACGTAACACGTGAACTTTAAAGATACACTCATATTCTGACTCAACTAGACTCCCATCCTTCCGTTAGAACCCTA